ACAAAAGAGACTGATGAACAGCTCATTTGTTTGAGCTTCAACGTTATATTTGCGGACAGTTTAACCGCATTATGCAACGAATTTTCCACCAATGCCATCCAGGCGCTTTGCGCTTTTTTTATTTACGTTTCCTTTGTCAAGTTTAGAAGTTGTGCCACTAATTGATCCCTACACCCAGAGTCTTCCAATAATTCACATTACATCTTATTATATGTGTTTAATTATGAGAAAAGGTGAAAACATAAAAAAGGGAAAGTTGGGTAGGAAAGCCGCCGTTCTCCCAGCTGGTGTCAATCCTCTACTGATCAGCGCCGCCTACAGTGCGGCTATATCTCAACACCTTAATCCTTTGCGAAAAATTCTCAAGATATTATCAAAAAATCTTGACTTCAGCCTTTTAGCGAATAGAAGGCCAAGTTTAGCCACACAATGACGCAAAAGGGGAGCTGCGCTTGCAATTTAACCTGATCCTTGGTTGAAAGATTTCTTATTTCATTCAGCGCCAAGATCCTCGTCAGTGCCAAAAATTACTCTTCTTTCAAATAGATTAACTTCATTGTTTTCATATTTACACTGCATCTATTTAACACTACAGTATTCTTTGTATCTACAGGGGTTTCTAATCTGGACGTAGTTCCAAAGGTTCTGGAAAACTCGTACTAGTTAGTCATTGTTATCATTAAATTTGCCAACGCGATGTGCCGCTGTTGCGTTTGGATGCGCCAACCAACCTTCCGTGCCTACTGGTCATTTTGCTCGCTTACCTATAACCTACCATATTTTCAGAGTAAGGGGTCACCGAAAAAAGATATTCTCACAGTGAAGAGATCAGCTTGTCATAACTTTTCCATACAAAACAGAGCCAACAAAACTAGTTGCTCCAAAAAAGCTTCTGTCAAATTTTAAGATTAAATAGATATGTAGAAGCATGCGTTAAATGCTTTTTGTTTTTTTGCTTGAGATCCAAAGCAACATAATGCTGTTCATATTTTAACATTAATAAAAATGTGGATTTATCTACATTTCAGGCAGCGGATGCGTGGTTCTCTGAAATTACCAAAAACGGCATTAACCGGCCAAGTGCGTCCCCTATTTTGCTAATAAGCCTATCTCCCCGCTAAGATTTACTCAGGTAAGTCCAAAAAGGGCTATGTACTGATGGAAGCACAATAGTTCTGAACAGATGGTATGGGCAAACACGTACCGGATTGGA